TCCTGTTGGATTGTTCCTTTTACACGATGTAGTGAACTTCTTAGTCTCTCTTAATTTTTTGGATTTGAAATTTACTTTGTCTGCAAATAAGATAGCTACCCCCTAAGTATATTGTTGAACTTTCCTTCTGCCAGTCTATTTCTTTTGATTGGTGAATTGAGGCCATTAACATGGATGATTATAACTGATGTGTATTTATTATTGTCATGTAATTGTTCTGTTGTTAGCTCTTTTAAATTTTTTCCCTGTCTCCCTTTCATTTCTTGCCTTTTCTGCTTGATTTGCTTTGTTGGGCCTCATGATGCTTTGATCTTCATTTTCTTTTACTAGGATATTATTTAAAATTGTCCGAAGTGCTGGTGTAGTATTCATGAAGTTTCTCAGATATTATTTTTCATGAAAGTCTTATTTCCTTATCAATTTTGAAAGGTAGTTTTGCAGGATACATTAGTCTACTTTGGAGGTTGTTTTCTTTTAGGGCTTCAAATACCTCTCCCCAGGCTCTCCCTAACTTGAGGGTTTGTGTTGAAAAGTCTGCTGTGATTCTGAAGGGCTTTTATTTCATGATATTTGTTCCTTTTTTTCTTCCTGCTTGTACTATTTTTGTTCTTCTGTTGGTTTTCTGGAAACTTGATTCTTATATGTCTAGGTGTAGATTTTTTGAGATCATCACTAGTTGGCGTCCTGGAGGCTTCACTTATCTGTGCGTTAAATTCTTCCCCTCTGCTTGGGAATTTTTTTCTCATTTATTCTGTGAGCAGAATTTTATGCCATTTGTCATGTCTCCTGCTTTTTCATGACCTCCTATCAGTCATGTATTTTCTTCTTTGCAAGAGCTAGAGGCTGTTGGAGTGATTTCTCATGTTCCCTCAGTTTTTAAAAAGAAATCCCACTTTTCATGGTCACTGAGCAACATCCTCTCTTCTATATTTAATATCCTGTCTTCAGTTTGGCTCAGTTTGTTATGTATACTTTCAATAGAGTTTGTAATCTCCTGGGTATCTGTTTGAATCTGTTTCATGGATTCCCTTTCGGTCATTCATGATTTTCATTACTTTCCTAGCTGGGCATTTGTGACTTCTATCATGGTCCAGACTTCATGTACTTTTTATGTTTTTTTTATTTTCTAGAGTTTCTAATCATGTCTTTCATTATGCTCTCTGTAGTTGTCTCAAAAATTATTTTCGTTTTGTAGTTTTCTAGAGCCTCATCATCTGTTTTGTTACCTGCAGCAATATCAGTTTGGAATGTCCAGGTGGTTGATTATCAGACTTTTCCAACTCATTTCCACCAGAATATACCTTTCATGAGCTGGCAGCCTGTGTTTGTGCTTATGCCTTGCTTGAATGTCTCCTCATTTTTATTTTTTTGTTGGCACTGTCCTTGGTTTAATTCCTGGGTTAATACTTCTATCTTCCTGTTATATCCTGTCTTTAGGTTTTGAGTTTCTAATGACTTTGAGACACCCTCATTTTCACAATACCAGGAATGACAACTGACTAGATCAATCAAAACACCTTACCCCAAGTGAGACAATCAGCAGCACAATAGCATCAATCACAGTTTAGAAAATGACAATTTGTGGTAATTATTAATCTATCGCCTTTGACAAAATTAATTAAATCAAAATCAAGGCTGGATCTCAGAACAATTGCCTTTCTGATCCCCTGTGCCTCTGTGATTTGAATCCAGGTACCAGCCCAGCCAGGCAGCCCAAGGTGTGCTGAGCGAGGGAGAGGTTCCCTTGTGGCTGCACCTCTCATCATTCCTCTGCCAATTTCCAGGGGTTGGAGCTGCAGTAACCTGTAAACTCCACTGGGCTGTGCCTTTCATCATTCCTCTTCAGAGGACCGGTTGTGGGGCTGGGACAGTCTGCAAGCTCCATGGGGTTGTGCCTCTCATGGTTCCTCTGCTGAGGCCTTGGAAGTGGGAATGGGGTAGCCTGCAAGCACTAAGGGGCTGTACCTGCAAGCTCCATTGGGGGGTTCCTCTGCTGAGTCCTGGGTGTTGGGTCTGGGGTAGCAGGCAATCTACACATGGCTGCACCTCTCACTGTTAACATGTTGAAGCCTAGGGGGTTGAAACTTTCCATTTATTGTAAGCCAAAAGTGTCTACTTATATTTTTAGAAAACATGTTTATATTTAGTTACTATTGTGTGTCAAGTTAGAGATTAAAAACTGAGGATTCACAAATGAATTTTCTCTAAATACATACATATATTTGCAGAAAAAATACAAAATGTTCCAATATCTGAAAAAGACGAGAACTAGAAATACCAGAACATTTTATTTGAATGTTGTAAAATTGAATTTTTACCCTTTTTTCTACTGATGATATCTACAATGAATATCATCCTCATACTATATATTCACTACCTATTAATAATTGCACTAACATTCACATTATGTTTTTAATCTGTGCTTAATACAACATTAAAAACTTTAGAAATCAACCAGGTGACAAAGATTAAAAACAACCTGCCATTCACTACATACTAGTGAGGGATTGGCACAAAATCACAACTTAAACTATCCGTCTCTGTGTCTCATCCAGAAATCACTTTGTTCTTCAATCACCATGAACTTTCCAGCAGAGGTTGTTATGTCTACACTGTAGTCATATATGAGAAAATCAAACTCTTTCCAGATTTTGGAATTGGAGAGAATTCTAACGTGAGTTGACTTCCCTAGTAGATGTTGAAAATGATGATTTATAAGAGTGGAGCATGATGTGGACAGCTTCAAGGAAAGCATGAAGGGGGGAGGGTATAAGATCAAAACTAATCACTGTATAATTTCTCAATCTTTGGTCTTTAGTTCATAAATTAGATATGCATTCTGAAGTGAATTCAGCAGATTTTACCCCCCTACAGTGACTTGAGGATCCTAATAGTAGGAGCATACAGTAAGAAATGGGTGCTTAATAGAGGAACAGGAGAAGAAATGGGTGCTGGAATTGTCAAAAGAAATAGGTACCATGAATTCCTGGTAAATGCTGTGTGTGTGTTATCAGACATCCTCATGTAAAAATTTCCTCACTATTTTCTACCCAACAACTTGTAGTTAATTATATAACAAAACAGTGCTCCTATTTTCTTTTAAAATAATAATATTGGAGCATGTATTCAGAAATGTTATGCAAGTGAAACGAAATAAATTCTGTAGAATACATAATTTAGATGCTGCCATTATTGCTTCATGACTTTCTGGTTATTTATATCCTCCTCATTGTACTCCTCTTCTCTTCCATAATTCTTCCGAGATGCTGATGAAATAGTTTACTGACACCCATGGTATGCTATCATGGATTAGATGTCTATGAGAAGCAGGACCAGGGTGCAAGGAAAGGAAAATATTGACTGATATTTTGTCTCCAGCATAGTATCTAGTACATAAATTTCACAGTCCTCTTAGCTAAAACTGCACAATCTCATCATCCCATCTCTCTGTCCAAACTTTCACATATGGCTTCATAATGGGAAGCAGAGTTTCCAAGAGAACTTTCCTCCATTCATCACTTTCTGAGTTAAATTGCATTTACTATGTTATGCTCAAACATATGCAACACTCTTCATCTCCCTGAGGACCAGAAAAAAAGCTCAAGTACAGCTCAGAGAATTGTTACTGACAATATCAAATATGGGTTTCCTGCTTTATTTTTTTCTCATTGAGTTTATTTGTACATTTTAGGTACACAGTACAGTTACATTCATCATTGGGATCTTGTACCTTTACAAGATAGGTCTTGGTTCTCACTTTTTCCCCTTGTCCCTGCCCTCCCTTCACCACTCCTCCCCTCCCCCTTTACAAACACTTCATTTCCACTTTTTCATGTTTTACCCTTATTAGCTTTCCCCTATCCTTCCTACTTTCCCTGCACCTTTAGCCCCTATATTCCTATTTCACATTGTCCATTATATCACTAGGATCTTATGTACTGTTATAGTTTATTCACACCAGACAAACTATTTGATATTTCCACATGTGTGACTTATTTATTTCACTTAGGAGTGAAATAAATATCCTCAATATGTATACATTTTCCTATGAATGAATCTAATTTCTCATTCTTTATGGCCGAGTAATATTACATTTTATAGAAAAACCACATCTCCTTTATCAAATTCCCAACTGATGGGCAAATGGGCTGTTTCCAAGTTTTAGCTATTACAAACTGTGCCACTATATACATAGGTGTGCATATATGTCTGTGATATGATTCCTTCAATTCTTTTGGAAAGATACCCAGCAGAGGGATGACTTGGTCAAATGGAACCTCTAGTGCCAGCTCTTTGAGGTGTATTCATATTGATTTGCATAGTGGCTGCACCAGTCTGCACTCCCACCAACAATGGAGAAGGGTTCCTTTCTCCCCACAACCCCACTAACATATGAAAGAATAAATACAGGTATATCAAGATGTCAAACATATAGACTAACTCTAGAAGCATTGACTGGTTATGTCATATCACATATCCTTGAAATACCAATGTACATAGCATATAATTATCCACATTGTTTCATATTATTCCTATATTGAAATATCTGAAATTCATTGGAAATTTTAAAAAAAGAATGTGATAAAAATTTGGGGCTCTGCTTTTACACAGAAGTCTTTTGAGTGTTATCTTTGTTATTTTTCCTTTTGAAACAAAGACCTCAGATTTTAATTTCCTTTGTTCATTTTGGAAAGATATACAGACATAGATATAGATATACACACACACCTACGCACACATACACACACACAGAGACCCTTTTGCAAACATCACTCTTACCCATCCCCAGAAATTTTTCACTTTCCCAACTGAAATTTGCATCTGTTTGAAGAACACTAAATACTACCACTTGAACAACCATGATTCTATAATAAAACATATATTAAAGACATCAAACTTCAGAAACAAAAAAGGAGGAAGGGTTTACAGATATGTATTTGATTTTCATTTTAACCATATTTTCTATACTATATTTTAAATAAATGCCAAAGGTCCTGGGATTACATTTCACAAAAATAGAGCTTCTTCAGGGTGCTAAGTATGTCCCTGTTCCTTAAGCTATAGATGAAGGGGTTCAGCATAGGCGTGACCAGAGTGTACATCAGTGAGGCCACCATACCCTTTCTGGGAGTGTGTGATGTCCTTGAACCAAGGTATGTTCCAAGACTCGTTCCCAAAAATAAGCAAACAACTGACATGTGAGAAAAACAGGTAGAAAAGGCTTTGTACCTCCCCCTAGATGATGCAATTTTCAGAAGGACAGAAACAATTTTATAGTAGGAGAAAATGATCCCTGACATGGGGAAAAAACCAAATAGGATACCAAGTATATATATGGTTACGTTTTTTTTAAAGGTATCAGAACATGAAAGGTCAAGGAGTTGAGAAGGATCACAAAAGAAACTAGCAATTTTCACATCTTTGAAACAGGTAACTTGTAAGGCAATTAAATTGTGTGCCTGGGAATCCAAAAAGCTAAGAAAGATTGACAACAGAAGCAATAAGACACAGCGGTGAGGGTTCATAATGACTGCATAATGCAGGGGATGGCAGATGGCAACAAAGCGGTCATAGGCCATTACAGTCAGGAGGATATAGTCCATAAACCCAAAAAAGAGGAAAAGAGATATCTGTGTCAAGCATTCTGCATAGTGGATGACTCTGATGTGAGTTACGATGTCCACAATCAACTTTGGGACTGTAGAGGAGGTGAAACAGATGTCAGTGAAGGACAGGTTGGAGAGGAAGAAGTACATGGGGGTATGAAGGTGGGAGTTAGAAATGACCGCCAGGATGATGAGCAGGTTCCCAAGCACTGTGACCAGGTACATGGTCAGGAACAGTCCAAAGAGGATGGTCTGCAGGTCTGGATCCTCTGAGAAGTGCATGAGGTAGAACTCTGAAACACGTGTGAGATTATGCCTTGCCATGTTGCTTAAGCACATTTAAATAAGTTTTATTGAAAAACTGAAACAAACAAAAAAAATCACCAAAACTGTGCATATAGTATTAGCTCAACAACTCATAAACAAAGAATTTCTTAGCAGAGTTCCACAACCTTCAGCAGCAACCCCACCATCAAGGACTCAGTGCTGGGTGGTTTGTTTTCAATTTCTGTTGTATAGTCTGAGTTTTCTGATACTCTACTGCACAGTGCAGGCCGACTGAGAATATAGATTTCTGAAGTCCTTGATCACAATAAAATGTAGTAAATTTATTTTCCAAAAAGTATAGAGGTAGTTAAGCCATCTTCCTTTAAGAAAATATGATTCTATTGGAAGAAAATTGAAAAGCATTGAAATTGTCCTATTTTATACTCACAAAATACTACAAATTTCTTGATTATGGTATCTACAAATAGTAGGGTATGCTACAAATGATATAAAATTCGGGACTGCATTATCTGAAATTTAAAGTTAATTCTCTCCAATCAGAATACTTTCATTTGAGCCATTTTTCTAAAAAAATAATGAATTTTTAATTTCCTTGTTTTCTTCTGATTTCATCTTTTAAGAATGTAAGAACTTACCCAACATTTGTATATAAACTGTGTATAAATTGTGCATAAATTATTCAATATGAATATTCTGTCCTTTTATTCATTACATTCAAATTTATGTATCACAGGCTCAGATACAGGCACATGATCTTTGGACATTACTACAAATGTAGATTAGTGTACAATGCATATATCAATACAAATAACAAATGATAAGAAGCAACTTTAACATTTTAAAATTTATGTGGTTATATTTAAAATATAATAACTGCTATATAAGCCATCTCTTTTTGACTCTGTTGTCTACTATAGCTTGAAAAATGCTTTGCTGCTGTTCTGATCACAAACCCACTTCTATCCAGTTGACAACACTGGAAACAAAGAAACTCACAAGGCCCTATCTGAGTTCCCCAGCCTTCCTAATTTAATCAATGGATTTTCACATTAGTCTCTGCTGAAATATGAGTTGCATTATGCATATTTCAGCTATGTGATGGAAACTGAGACCCAAATTTTCAGTAGGCCATTCTGTGATTTAATTGGGAAAAATTCCAAAATGATAAATGAAACAATTTAAGCACACCTTAAAACAATAGAAAAAGGTATGTGAATTATTGTAAACATACCCACAAATGATGTATTCCCCTGATCTGTAAAATGGGAATAAGAATTACCTACTTTATGTTGATGCTGTAAGAAAATATTTTGAAAATCTTTTAATTTATCACTTGACTCTAATTTAGAAATATATTTATCTGGAGATATTTTCATATCTTTAGCCTTAGCCTAATATATTAATCAGAATATATACATTTCAAATTTTTAAGTCACTTTCTTACATGAGAGTTGAGAACCACTATGTGAGGATATTTGCTGGCATTTAGAAAACTTACCATTCATACTATCTCTATAGATATTAACATACAATATTTAATAATATTTATATCCTTATTAATATTATTTAGATGTCTGAACAATTACCTAAAATTTTGAGTAGTTTCTATCATTTCTCTTGGTCTCCTCAAAGGAATCTGTTGTTATGAATTTTATGGGAAGATTTTATTATCAATATTTCTAGGTGTACAATGATTCATAAGTCCACAGGCAATTTTCTTAAAACTTTTCCTACAGGCGTCCTAAAACTCAACTATACTGTGTTACAGAACACCTGTTGTCCCCAAAATAAATTAGGTTATATCCACATGTAGTGGTTTTGGGCCTTCTTCAACCAATTCACAGCCTTACATTTGAGAAGGAGAAAGGAGGAAGAGAAAGGCCTCATTTACTTTGCTAGTTAATTATTATGTTAATATTTTCAAAATTCTTGTTCTTCCTTCCCTATCACTCATGTTAAAAAATATTGTATAATATATTGCAGTGATATTTTTCTGATTTTTCAACAAATAATGCATGTAAAATTTCACTGTTTCACAAAATAGTTGACATACCTACATTCTCTTATTCATCAGATACTTTCTCAAAATATGCCAGCCATCTTTGCAGTAATGATGTCTTCTTGATACCACACAAATAAATTTCATCACCACATGAAGATAACATTTCAATTTGTCTTCAGTTTTGGTTCCCATACCAAGGGATGGCCCTGAAGAAATAAGTACATTAGTTTTGTGTCCTTGACCTGTTACTGTAGGTGGAATGTTTGTGAATTGCTCTTCCTCACTGTGTTCATTAGGCTTGGGGAAAATGAGGAGAAAATAATTTATCCACATGTGTGGCAACTAAAGAATCCTAGAACATAACTATTTATAATTTGTGAAATTTCTTAGTCTCAATTTGATTATATAAAGGTACAAATTTCCAACAATGAATGTTATTATATTGTATACATTAAATGTACCAATAAAATAAATAAAATAAATAAAAGGCATTTAGAGAAAAGTAAAATTTAAAAAAAAATTATGTTGTGACCTTAATAATTTCCTCCCTTGAATGAGCCTTGCTTGAACTGTACTTATTTTCTTAGAACTTTGAGGTTCAGCCTTAGGGTGTTTCTTTGTTCCCATCTCTTTGTGCATTTTTTTAAAAAAAACATGAATATCTCTCTTGTGTTTTATTTTTAAATAACTTATGGAGATACAATTAAGTGGATGATAGGGTCCATGTGTCCATGGCACAGAGAAAAAAAGAAACCTATTTTTTCTTGTCTTTACATATATAGGGCACTTGGGAAAGGAATGGAGCTGAAAACAGTAAGGCACTAAGAATCTTCACATCATGTTGATTAAGGATGAGTACTATGACACAGGGAAGGGCCCATTCACCATTGAACACAGGTTTTTATTTTTGACTTCTCCTCTGTGCTAAACAAACTATAGGTCTGGGAAATCAGCTGTACAGAAAAGTACATCATTCGTCTGAACACATATACATATAATCACACAAGCACAAATAAAGTGTCCCTCAACAGAAACAGAAAAGGAGTAACTATAGGACAAAGGAGATAAGTGGTAAGAATATACTTATCGCTGACGGTAATGGTAGCTAAATTTTAATTTGCTCTAATGTTATACACATTAACCCTAAATAGAGCACTCCTTATCTGCATAATCCTTAGTATAGTTACTTCAAGCAAAATTTAACGCTAAGAACAATGCTCTCTCAGAGATATTAAAAGCCCTCCCTGCATCAGAGAATTAATAAGTGGAGCTGAAAAAATTGAGAAATAAATTGACCAATAAACTTAATTTAAAAAGAAATAAATTGATAGATACTATCTGATACATTGAAAGTTTTCACTTTCCAAATATTTCATATTTTTACCATCACATGTGATCACTAAAATGTCATGTTTCTCCTCAGGATGAGGGAATAGTACCTTTAAGCATCATTCACATTTCATTGAGGTCCCTCTGCACTTACTGGATAATGCTGTTTCTTTGTTGGGTCATACTAAAGGAGAGCAGATCCAAAGACCCTCTTATGTCTCCCACCCAGTGAAGGCTCAGTCTCTGTTCTTGGAATTGAAATCAATGCCAAGACACATGGGAGCTTCATGATACCGACAACAGTAGAGCCTGGGACACAGATATGGAACTGAACACAGGTCTGGAATCACTAAAAGACTGGAGGCTGATTATTAACTACTCTGTGACCTTCAGGGCTCAGGGAACAGAGCTAGCTCATAATTAGAAAAATAGGTCCATGCCATCACAATCTCTAGGGACTTCCAAACACCAACGGAGGGAAAAACACAAATGCAATGTAAGTGTCCACATGAAGTTTTGAGTTTTACATCTACTCAGATAAGGCTAGTTTGTCCCAATAATTTCTGTCATTTATATACAATTTTAAATGATGATCTGCCTTTATTTTATTTTTGAAGTAAAATACACATAATGAATTTACACTTTTAACAAAATATACTCGATTAAAATTTATAGTTTTTTTCAGCTTTGATTGAGTTTATTGGTATATTTTAGGGATACAGTACACTTACATTCATTGTTGGGATCTTGTACCTCTACATGACAGGTCTTGGTTCTCATTTTGTCCCCTTGTCCCTGCCCTCCCTACACCCCCTCCTCTTCTCCCCATCTACAAACAGTTAATTTCCATCTTTTCATTATCTCACATTTTTTTTCTTTTCCCTTATTACCCTTCCCCTACCCATCCCACCTTCCCTACACCTTTAGCCCCTTTCTTCCCATTTCACAATGTTGGGAATCTTTATTATTGCAGTTTATTCACACCAGAGAAACTATTTGGTATTTACACATGTGTGACATGTGTGACATTTATTTCACTTAGGAGTATATCTTCAATATGTATCCATTTTCCTATGAATGAATCTATTTTTCTCATTCTTTATAGCTGAGTAATATTCCATTTTATAGAAAAACCACTTGGAAACAGCCCATTTACCCCTCAGTTGGAAAATGGAAAAAGTTTATACTTTAATGACTATAATATCATTGTGAGTCACTTAATATCATATGTCATCAGGAATTTTTCATTTTCTAAACTGAAAGCTTATGATCAACTTTAGAGTTCACTCTTCATTCTTCCAACATTATATTATGAAACTAAAGCCAATAAATTATCATACAACTTAACCAGCAATATTAGAAGTCCAGAAATACTACTGTAGTCTCCATGGGGTGCTTATACTTTACTTTGTTACTCAGGCTGTGAAGGGATTCAACACAGGGGTGACTAGCTACACATGACTGTGGCTGCCATACTTCTGGTAAAATATAAGGAATCTGGCAATATATACTATAATACCTGTTCCACAACATAAGCAAGCAACTGACAGTTTAGACTTGAAAGAAGAGAAGATATGATTTATTTTCTGTCAGATGATGATGTTCC